CAAAAGAAAGAAAAGATCCAAATTAATAAAATTAGAGATGAAAAAGAACATATCACCACAGATATTTCTAAAATCCAGAGAATCATGAGAAACTATTTTGAAGATTTATGCTCCAATAAACAGAAAAATCTAGAAGACACTGGTAACGTTCTAGACACATATGACCTGCCCAAATTGAACCTGGATGATACAGAAAACATAAACAGACCAATAGCCAAGTAATGAAATTGAAAGATCAACTAAAAGCCTTCCAAAAAAGACAAGCCCAAGACAGGTGGATTCTTGGCTGAGTTCTACCAGACCTTTACATAAGAACTAATACCAGTCTTTCTCAATTTATTCCAGGAAATTGAAAAGGAGGAAACATTTACAAACACATTCTATGAAGCCAGTATAACACCAATATCAAAACCACCCAAAGACACACCAAGGAAAGAAAACTACAGACCAATATCCCTGATAAACATAGGTGCAAACATGTTTAATAAAATATTAGTGAATTACATTTTAAAACTTATTAAGGGGGTTAGAATTGTGGGTCAATGGTAGAGTGCTTGCCTAGCACGTGTGAGTCATTGGGTCCAATGCTCAGCACCACATATAGATAAATGAAATAAAGGTACTGTGACCATCTACAACTAAAAATATTTTTAATATTTATTTTTAAATTATAGGTGGACACAATATCTTCATTTTATTTTTATGTGGTGCTGAGGATTGAACACAGCGCCTTGTACATGCTAGGTGAGCGCTCTGCCACTGCGCCACAACCTCAGCCCCCCTAAAAATATTTTTTAATATTTATTTTTTAATTGTAGTTGGACACAGCACTTTTATTTTATTTATTTATTTTTATGTGGTGCTGAGGATCAAACCCAGGGTATTTCACATGCTAGGCAAGTGTTCTACCATTGAGCCACAACCCCAGCCCTACATCTAAAAATATTTTTTTAAAAACGTACTAAGAAGATAATACACCATGACCAAGTCGGCCTCATCCCAGGGATGCTAGGTTGATTCAACTTACGCAAATTAATAAATCTAATTTACCATGTAAGTAGAATTGAGAAGAACCATATGATCATCTCAACAGATGCAGAAAAGGCCTTTGATAAAGTACAGCAACCAATCATGTTAAAAATGTTGGAGAGGGGCTAGGGTGATGGCTCAGAGGCAGAGTACTTGCCTAGCATGCATGAGACACTGGGTTCGATCCCTAGAACAAAATTAATAAACAAATAAAATAAAGGTATCGTGTTCATCTACAACTAAAAAAATTTTTTTAAATGTTGGAGAAACTAGGGATAGATTACAAAGGCCATATATTATAAAGGGCACATAGACAAACCCAAAGCAAAATCAGACTGAATGGAGAAAAACTGAAAGCTTTTCCTCTAAAATCAGAAACAAGACAAGAATGTCCACTTTCACCACTTTTATTCAATATAATTCTTGAAACTCTAGCCAGAGCAATCAGGCAAAATAAGGAAATCAAAGGGATACAAATAGGAAAAGAAGAAATCAAACAATCACTGTTTACTGATGACATAATCCTGTATTTAGAAGATCCAAAAAGTTCCCCCAGAAGACTCCAAGAACTGATAAATGAATTTAGCAAAGTAGCAATGTACAATATCAACACTTATAAATCAATAGCTTCTCTACACTCCAACAGCAATTCTGCTGTTGAAGAAATCAAGAAAACTATCCCTTTCCCAATATTCTAAAAAAAAATTTCCTGAGAACTAATAGAACAAATAAGGTGAAAGATCTCTACAATGCACACTATAAAACCGTGAAGAAAGAAATTGAAAGACTTTAGAAGATGGAAAGACTTCCCATATTTTTGGATAGGCAGAATTAGTATTGTCAAAATGACCACACCACCAAAAACAATACACAGATTCAATGCAATCCCCATCTGAATACCAATAACATTTGATGGCCAATCTCAAATTATACTATAGAGCTATGGTAGCAAAAACAGCATAGTATTGGCATCAAAATAGACACAAAGACCAGTGGAATAGAAGGCACAGAGACAAACCCACATACTTACAGCCATCTGATTTTTGACAAGGTGCGAAAAATATATTTTTTGGAAAAAAGACAGCCTTTTTAACAAATGATGCAGAGAAAACTGGATATCCATATATAGAAGGATGAAACTAAAACCCTATCTCTCACCTAGCACAAAAATCCAATTAAAATGAATTAAAGACTTAGGAATTAGACCAGACCCCTTGCAACTGCTAGAAGAAAACACGGGAGCAACACTCTATTATATAGGTGCATGCACCACCTTCCTCTATAAGACCCCTAAAGCTCAAGAAATAAAACCAAGAATCAATAAGTGGGATGCCATCAAACAAAAATGCTTCTGCAGAACAAAGGAAATGATTAAGAGAATGAGGCGGCCAGTGCCCCGCCAGGGTCATTTTTCCTGCATAGGAGGGAATAAGCCACCTGAGAAAATAAAATCTGAAATAGTTAGTGAAGAAATAAAAGACAAAGCAGAATTATACCTTTCAAAAGTATGTAACACCTAATACGTCCAGCCTACACAGTTGAAGCTGAACAACTAGAAAATAGCTCTGGGTCGTTTTATTTAAGTGGGTACATCAATGGCAGGAATAAGGTTATAAGGGTAGAGTCTTGCTTCATGATGTCTTGCAGTGAATAGGTTGATTGGCATCTTGGCAGGCTATACCTTCTCTGAGAAGCTATGTGGCTACAGCGGGTCACCCCATCTCCGGTGCTATGTGGGACCTGGCAGAGATGAATAGAACTCACACGCATCTGGGTGTTCTTACCAGCAGAATTGCCACGGGAAGTTCCCAAATACCATATTTTCCTATTCAATGGGAAAATGCCAATTTGATCCACACATAGTCCATGGATGGCTCTCGACACCCCAGCCATTCCACTCCTTGGTATTTATCCAAAAGAACTAAAATTAGAATACTATAGTGATCAGCAATCAGCCACTTCAATTTTTATAGCAGTGCAATTCACAGTAGGCATGTTAGAAAACCAGCCTAGGTGTCTGCCAACAGATGAACAGATAAAGAAAATGTAATACACACACACACACACACACAATGGAGTTTTACTCAGCCTTAAAGAAGAATGAAATTATGGCACTTGCTAGTAAATGGATGGAACTGGAGAACATCAAGCTAAGTCAAATAAGCCAGACTCAGAAAATTAAGGATTCAATGTTTTCTCTTATATGCAGAAGCTCAAGAGAAAAAAAGGAATAAAAAAGGGATCTCACAAAAATAGAAGGGAGATAAGTAAAGTAGAGGAAAGAAAGGTTGAGCAGAACCCCTGGGTAGAGTAGGGTAAAAGGAAGGCAATGAAAAGGTATCAGGGAATATTAAACTATCCAAATTACACCATGTATATATACAAATATCACAATAAATCCTACTTTCATATAGAATTATAATGCACTAATTTAAAGCAATGGAAGGGAGACCAGTAGAGTGGGGGAAGGGGATCAGGAAAATGGAGGGAAGGGAAAGTGAAGGTACTAGGAATTAAATTAATCAAATTATGTTAAATGCATGTCCAAATATGTCACAATAAATCCCACTCATACTTATAATGTACCAATAAAAAAAAAAAAAAAAACATTTGCCAGGCACAATGGTTCAGTCTGTAATCGCAGTAGTTTGAGAGGCTGAGGCTGGAGGATCACTAGTTCAAAGTCAGCCTCAGAAATTTAGCAAGACCCTGCTTCAAAATTTAAAAAAATGAAAAGGGCTAGGGTTGTGGCTCAGTGCTTTAGCACCCTTGGTTTCAATCTGTGGCACACACCCCCCCCCAAAAAGAACTAACTCTTGAGACTCAACTGTGAAAAAAAAAAAACACTACTGTAAGACAGGAACAGATAATTCAGAGAATAGGATATATGGATGGAAAACTAGCATACTAAAAGATGCACATCATTATCTAAAAGCAATTAAATCCACAATGGCATATTACCATATACCTTTCAGAATGGCTAAAATAAAAAAATAGTGAAATACCAAATGCTTGTAAGAATGCAGAAAAAGTGAATCATTCATACATTACTGGTGGGAATATAAAATGGTTTACTCACTCTGGAAATAGTTTGATACATTTCTTAAAAATTAAACATGTAATTACCACAACACCCAGCAAGCAAATGGCACTCTTAGGCATTTATCATAGAGAAATGAAAAATGTATGTTCACGTAAAAACCTGTACACTATTGCTCATACCACTATTACTCATAGTAGCCCAAAACAGGAAACAATCCAGATGTCCTTCAATGAGTGAACAGATATTGTGAACTGTGGGATATTCATACCATGGAACAGACTCAGCAAAAAAAAAAAAAAAAAAAGGAACTACTACAATGCAAAAATAAACTTCCACTCATGTAAAAACTTGGATGAATCTCCAAAGAATTATTCTCTGTAGAAAAAGGCAATCCCAAATGTTAAATTCTATATGAGTCCATTTATTTAACATTCTTGACAATGACAAAATTATAAAAAATAGAGAACACACTAGTAGCTGGGTGAACTAAGGATGAGGCCAGGAAGGGAATGACATAAAGGAGGTGAATGTTGTTATTAAAAAGCAACAAGATGTTCTGTATCACAATTATAGTGGTGAACATCTGCACCTACACGTCATAAAACTGCAGGCTACTAAATATGATGTCTTGCTCATACACACACAGTTTCTCATGCACACGTATGCACACACAGAAATACAGGGAAAACTGAGAACATCTGAATACATCAATGTCAGTAACATTAATCAACTGTATCAAAGCCAAAATTCTAGTGATATTTTATTATAGCTTTGCAAAATATTAATAATTATAAATGGATAAAAATATACAAGATCTCCTTGTATTAATTTTTATGCTGATATGTGTTTCTGAAATATCTCAAAATGAAAAGTTATCACTAGGAAAATATAAGAGTCCTACTTATAATATGTAGCATTTCAAACTCACCAAAACCAGGATTCATGAAGGGAGATGCTGCATTATTATCTTGGTTGCTGCCATTTTCCATTAGAGTTGGGCGATTCATTGTTTCAGGTCCTATTTCTGGGCCAGATTCTGTTTTGAACAACATTACAATACATAAAACGTTTTCAAGTGTTGAAAAAACAAGAAATCTCACCCAGGGATTTTAAATCAAGTAAAACTACCCTTCAGAAATGAAGAAGAAATTAAGGCATTGTCAAAAAAAAAAAAAAACTTTTTTAAAAAGTTGGCACTGGATGACTCACCCTTAAAGAAGAGCTAAAGGAAGATCTTCAATCTGAAAGGATACGATGAAAGAAGGTATCTTGCATGCAGCATAAGGAAGAAAGAAAGAACAACAGAAAGAGCAGAAATGTACATGTGGAGAAACTGCATCACTCCTACACTGGTGGAGGGAATGGAAAGTAGTGCAGCCACTCTGGGAAATATCTTGGCAGTATTTTGTAAAACTAAACATACAATTACCCTGTGACCCAGCAATTACACTTTTGGGCAGTATCTTTTAGACAGTATCTCAAAGAAATGAAAATATATGTTTACACAAAAACCTGTACTTGAGTGTTCATATAGCAGCTTTACCTCTAATACCCCAAAATTAGAAACAAGCAGCATATCCTTCAAAGTGTAAAAACAGAAATGAATTATGGTAGATTCATACCATGGAATAGTACACAGCAGGAAAAAAAGAACTATGGATACAGGCAGCACCTTGAATGAATCTCTAGGGAATTATGTAAGTTTTTAAAAAGCCAATCTCAAAAGATTATAGACTATATGAGTTGATTTACATAAATCCTTGTTAACTACAAAATTATAAAGAAGGAGTGCAGATCAGCCAATGGTAGAGACAGGACAAAATAGAAGTAGGAGGTTTAAAGAAGAAAGGTGACAATAGGCGGGATCCTGATGCTTTATATTTTATATGTGATGGAGGATTTGAAAACCTACACATACAAGGAAACTATATAAAGCTTAATATCTATGCACATACAAACGCAAGTAAAACTGAGGACATCTCAAAAAACTTATAATAGTATTGACATCAATATCCTGACTTTGACATTGTACTATAGCTTTGTAAGATAATCTCATTAAGGAAATACTGTGCAGCTAAAATTTTCTCAAAACTTTTTTTAGTTTCTCATTAATTTTTAATTAGGAAAAGCTACCACTATCTCATACAAAGGGAGTTAATGAATCTAGATTAAATAGTCTACACGTGGGGCTAGGGTTGTGGCTCAGTAGTAGAGCGTCTGCCTGGCAGGTGTGAGGCACTGGATTCAATCCTCAGCACCACATAAAAATAAATAAATAAAATAAAGATATTGTGTCCATCTACAACTAAAAAAATTTCTTTAAATGGTCTACACAGGGTTACATATCATTTCAAACTCACCAATGCTGGCAGGAAGACAAAAAGATGAAGAAGTAGCTTGGTCACTACCATTTTCCAATAAAGAAGGGTTGTTCATCACCTGAGGGTCCTTTTCCAGGCCAGTTTCTTCTTGGTTTGATATTTCTGTAAAGGAAATATTTTTCAAATGGTTAAGAAAACACTCCTGACCACGTATTCTATATCCTGCAAAACGATTTTTCAGGAATTAAGTGAAACAAAAGATGGTCACAGACAAAAGAAAAAAATAAAATCATCTGTCACTAGTTGACTAACACTTCAAATAATTAAAGGAACAACTTTGATCAGAAAGAATACGGTAGAAGGGGCTGGGGATGTGGCTCAAGCGGTAGCACGCTCGCCTGGCATGCGTGCGGCCCGGGTTCGATCCTCAGCACCACATACAAACTAAGATGTTGTGTCCGCCGAGAACTAAAGAATAAATGTTTAAAAAAAAAAAAAAAAGAATACGGTAGAAGAAATGGCATCAGGAAGGAAGGAAGAAGAGCAGAAGAGCAGCAATATGGCTACAGAGAAACTGGATCTCTCATACATGGCTGGTGGGGAATGGAACCCAGTACAGCCACACTGGGAAACAGTTTCACATAGAACTGAAAATGTAATTACCAGAGGAGCCAGCAATTATACTCTTGGGCATTCATTACAGAAAAATGAAAACTTGTGTGAGTAAGTGAAATGAAAAGGCAAAACTAAAACTTTAAATGAGTGTTTGAAACAGCTTTACACCTTAGTAGCCAAAAATAAGAAACCCATAGGTTTTCAATGGGTGAATAGATAAACTAACCATAGAGCATCTAGACCATGGATGCACCAAAAACCTCAGCAACAAAAACCAAGGAACGATTGATAAACACATGTGCATGAGCCCTCAGAGAATTATAGAGAGAAAAAAGTCAACCCCAAAAGGTTCCCGATTCCATTTATATAATACTGAAGTGACAAATAGGGTAACCATAACTTAGAGACAATAGGAGGAGAGGGAATGGTGACTGGAGAGAACGAAGTTTGGTTATAAAAGAACAATATGAGAGCCAGTGGCTCGGGAGGCTGAGGCAGGAGGATTGTTGAGTTCAAAGTCAGCCTCAGTAACTTAGCAAGATGCTTTCTCAAAATAAAAAATAAAAAGGGCCAGGAATGTGGCTAAAAAAAAAAAAAAAAAAGAAACAATATGAGGGATGGTAATGTAGCTTGCCTGTGCTCAAAGATCCATAAGCCTATATACATGATAAAAGTTACCAAAACACACACATGAACATTCACACAAATAAAATATAAGTTAATCTGGGACATCTCAATAATATCTGGGGATGGTGTCATGTCAATATCCTTGTTGTAAAATTTTTCTATGGTTTTGCAAGATGTTACCATTGGGGAAAACTGGGGAATGAAAACATGAGATCTCGCTGCATTATTTATTACAACTGTCTATGCAGATAAATTTTTCCTGAAAAAAAAAGTCTAATTAGAAAAAGCTACCACTATCTTGCACTAAGGATGTTAATGACTCTATAATAAATAGTGCTACAAATAATAAGTACCATTTCAAATTCACCAGAACAATAAGGGATGAAGTGAGATGATGAGGAAAGATTTTGGCTAATGTCACCTTCTAATAAAGGAAGTTAATTTTCTCAGGGTTCCTTTCCAGGATGGTTTGTGCTTTTGCCAACATTGCTATAAATAGAATATTTTTAAAAATGAAAGAAAAGAAACTTTAACCATGAATCCTGTAAGGATGAAGAGGAGGGGCTGTGGTTGTAGCCCAGTGGCAAAGCGCTTGCCTAGCTAATGTGTGAGGTACTGGGTTCAATCCTTAGCACCACATAAAAATAAATAAAGGCATGCTGTCCTTCTACAACTACAAAAAATCTTTTGAAAAAAAAAAAAAAGAATACAGGGCAGCTGGGTGCAGTGGCACATGCCTATAATCCCAGAGACTCAGGAGGCTGGGACAGGAGGATTGCAAATTTGAAACCAGCCTCAGAAATTTAATCAGATCCCATCTCAAAATTTAAAAAAAAATGGCTGGGGATGTATCTCAGCAGTAAAGTGCCCCTGGGTTCAATTCCCAGTACCAAAACAGGAGGGGTGGGAAAACATACCCACACAAGGGAAAAGTAGAAATATTTGTCACTAGCTGAAGTATACTTAAAGAATGACTAGCCAGGTATGGTGGCTCATGCCTATAATCCCAGCTACTCGGGAGGATGAGGCAGGAGGATCTCTTGTACCCACAAGCTCAAGACCATCTTGAGTAACTTAGTAAGACTTTGTTAAAATGAAAAAAAAGTCTAAAGGAAAATCTTCTGATATAAAAGAATGATGAAAGAGCAAATAATCTTAAAACAACAAAAATGAAGAAAGAATAACAATAAATGTAGCAGAAGTAGAGATATAGAGAAACTGGATATCTCACACATAATTGGCAGGAATATAAAATGGTACAGTCTCACTGGAAAACCATTTCAGTTTCTTATAAAACTGAACATGCAATTCATACAACCAAGTATTTGTACTTATCCAAAAGAAATCAAAACTTAGGTTTACATAAAACCCTGTAAACAGTCATAGCAACTTACTTGTAATAGTTACAAACTAGAAACAACCCAGATGTCCCTCAATGGGTGAAAAACAGGTAAATAAGCTATAGTAATCCATCCCATGGCAATAGTATATGATAATGAAAAAAGACTACCAATACATGCAATAAGTCAGATGAATCCCTAAAGAATTATACTGAGGTAGGTGGGGGTTATAAAAGGGCAAGATGCGGCATCCTGGTAGTAATGGAAACATCTTGGACATCAATGCTCCTTAGATGACCAAATTCAATAGAACCAAATGAACTGTATATACAAACTAATAAAGTTAAACTGAGGAAATCTCAACAAGATTTGTGGTTTGTGTCAATGTCAACATCCTGGTTGCAATGTTCTATTACAGGTTTTTTAAAATCTATTTTTAGTTATAGGTGGACAAAACACCTTTATTTTATTTTTAGGTGGTGCTGAGGATTGAACCCAGTGCCTCATATGTGCGAGGCAAGTGCTCTATCACTGAGCTACTAATCCAACCCCTCTATCACAGTTTTGCAAGACTGTTATTGAAAGAAATGGGTAAAGTGTGAAAGGTATTCCTCTGTGTTATTTATTACAACTTCTTGTGTCTCTTAAATTACTACAAAATTGGGGGCTGGGGATGTGGCTCAAGTGGTAGCGCGCTCGCCTGACATGCATGAGGCCCGGGTTCAATCCTCAGCACCACATACAAAGATGTTTTGTCCACCGAAAACTAAAAAATAAACATTAAAAAAAATACCACAAAATTAAAAGTTTAGTTTTTTTTAAAAAAGCTACTTCTAGCTTTGTGTTAAGGATGTTAATGGATCTAGATGAAACAGTGCTATAGACCATGTATCATTTCAAACTCACCACAACTGGGACGGATGACAAGAGATGAAGAGGCATGATCTTGGCCTTCATCATTTTCCAGTGAAACTGAGTTATTCCTTGCCTGAGGGTTGTTTTCCAGGCTGGCTTCTATATTAACTGGCATTTCTATCAGTATAACCTTTTCAATTACTGAAAGATAAGAATTCTCAATCATGAATTCTATTCTGAGTGAAATTATTCTTCAGGAAAAAAATGAGGGAGGATAAAAACATCCTCATAAAAAGTAAAAATTAAAAGAATGCATCCCTAGAAGAAATAGCCCCAAAAAACAGTTAAAGGAAGGTCTACAAACAGAAAAAACATTACATAAAAAGGAATATTGCAGCATCAGGAAGGAAGAACAATGGAATGATCAGAAAGATCATCCATACACTGCTACTGGGAATGTAAAATGGCACAGCCTTTCTGAAAAACTGGCAGTTTCTTATAAAACCAAGCATGCTATTACCATAAGACCAGGCAATTATATTCTTGGCATTCGTGGCAGAGAAAAGAAAATTTATATTTACACAAAAGTCACTACATGAGTGTTTATAACAGCTTTACCTGTAATATCCAAAAACTAGAAAGAGAAACCCAAATGTTCTTCAATGAGTGAATAGGTTTTTTTTAAGTGTTCCTAGTCAAGCATGATGGTACATAACTATAATCCTAGCTACTCAGGAGGCTGAGGCAGGAGGATCTAAATTTAGAGGCCAGCCTTGACAATTTAGCAAGATTCTATCTCAAAATAAAAAGGGCCTGGGATGTAGCTCAGCGGCAGAGCACTTACCTGGCATGTGTGAGACCCTGGGTTCAACCCCCAGCACTGCAGAGAAAAAAAAATTGTTCATAACTATACCATGAAAAGCTACTCATCAACAGAAAGAACAATTAAGAAATTAAAACTTAAATTTATGTAAAAATATACACATGAATATTCATAGAACATTTATTTCTAATAGCCAAAAGCTAGGAAAAAATCCAAATGTCCTTCAACAGGTGAGTGATAAAATATAGTGTATTCTAACTATGGAATAATGTTCAGCAATAAAAAAAATAAACTGAATATACACAACAACCTAGAAAAGTCCAGGAAATTTAGCTAAGTGAAAAACAAAGCCATCCCAAATAGGATTTCACCTATAAAACCATTTGAAGAGACAAAAATTATATAGATGGAGAAGAGATCATTGGTAGTTGGGGCGGGCAGGGAAAGGCAACCTGAGGAGTTGGGTATGGTTATCGTCAGGCAATTGGAGAATGCCTTGTGCTGATGGATATCATCTCTCCCTTACCTGTGGTGGTGGACACACAAACTTACACATGGGATAAGATAACATAGTGCTAAATATACATGTGCACACACAAATAGACACAAATAAAACTGGGGACATTGCAATAAATCTGTGACTTACACCAATCACAAAATCAAAGTTGTGATATTTTATTGTATTTTTATAAAATACTACTATCAGGGGAGGGGGAGAGGAGACACAAGAGCTCTGTATTATTTCTTATATTTGATTGTGATTCTGAAACAGCTAAAAATGAAATGCTTAATTTTTAAAAAGCTATCACTAAGAATTAATATTAAGAATGTTGCTGAGGGCTGGGGTTGTGGCTCAGTGGTAGAGTGGTAGCCTAGCATGCGTGAGGCACTGGGTTCGATTCCTAGCACCACATATAAATAGATAAAATAAAGGTCCACTGAAAGCTAAAAAAAATTTTTAAATTTTTTTTAAAAGACATCAGGATTGCAGGCATCATCTTTAAAAAAAAAAAAAATGTCGCTGAATGCAGTGGCACATGCCTGTAATTTCAATGACTCCAGAGGCTAAGGCAGGAGAATTTTAAGTTAAAGGCCAATCTCAGCAACATAGCAAGATCCCATTACCCCATCTCAAAATAGAAGATGAAACGGGTTGGGGATAGAGCCTAATGGTAGCGTACCCCTGTATTTACTCCCCAGTACCTCATACACACATAAACATGCGTATGAATCTAAATTAAAAAGTACTATTTGTGGGCTGGGGTTGTGGTTCAGTGGCAGAGCGCTTGCCTAGCATATGTGAGGCACTGGGTTCGATTCTCAGTACCACATGGAAGTAAATAAATAAAGGCCAATCAACAACTAAAAACAAAATTTTTTAAAGTACTATTTGTACAAATGTCACTTTAAACTCACCAAGATTGGAGGAGATGGAGATAGATGAAGAAGCAGATTCTGAGTCAGTGATATTTCCCAATAAAGCTGGGTAATATATTGTCTGACAATTGCCATCCAGGTTAGCTTCTGCTTTTCCCGGCATTTCTATCAGTACAACTTTTTCAATGGCTGAAAAAAAAGGATGCCCAACTATAAACTCTATATGAGGTGAAACCATCCTTCTGGAAAAAAGTAAACTAAAAACATTCTCAAACAAAGAAAACTCCAAGCATTTGTCCCTAGCATACTTACCCATACAAAAGGCTAAAGGAGATCTTGGAACAGAAAGGATATGATGAAAGAAGGAAATCTGGAGCATCAGGAAGAAAGAACAATGGAAAAATCAGACAGACAGATGTAGAGAAACTGAATCACCCATTCTTGCTACTGGGAATGTAAAATGGCATAGCCTCTATGAAAAGATGTTTGGCAGTTTCTTGTAAAACTAAACATGCTATTACCATAAGACCCAGCAATTGTGCTCTTGGCATTCATAACAGAGAAAAGAAAATTTATATTTACACAAAAGCCAGTACATGAAATGTTCACAGAGGTTTATTCTTAATGCCAAAAACTGGGGGGAAAAAACTTATATCCTTCAATGGGTAAATGATTACAAACAACTATTGCATAACCAAACCACAGAAAACTATTCAGCAATAACAAGAGAGAAACTATTTATTGACATACACAACAACCTGTATGAGTCTTCAGGGGGGAAAAACCTGCATACCATAAGATTACCTTTATATAATACTCTTAATATGGTAAAATTATAGACTGGTGTTTGCCAGGCATTAGAAAACAGGCCCTGAGGAAGGAAAGGGTAAGCTGAGAGAGGTGAGTATAGTATAAAAGCAAGATGAGGCAGCTGGCAGTGATAGGATTGTCCTGTATCTCAAGTGTGATGCTGGCAATCAAACCTACTCATGTAATAAATCTGCACAAAAATAGATATAAACACATATAAAGTACTAAAAGTAAAACTGGGCAGCCAGGAACTGTGAGTCATGCTTGATAATCCCAATGACTCAAGAGGCTGAGGCAGGAAGATCACAAGTTCAAGGGCAGCCTCAGCAACTTAGCACAGACGCTGTTTCAAAACAAAAAATAAAAAGGACTGGGGATGTAGCTCAGCAGTAAAGTTCTCCAAGATTCAATTCCCAATACCAAAAAAAAAAAAAAAAAAAA